GACACTCCGACATTTATTGTAATTGAATATAAGCCATATATATATATAGATATATGTTAGTGTATTACATTGATAAGAACTTTGGCTTAAAGTCAAGGATTTAATCAAGTATATTTGGTGGTTTTCGGTTTCGCTACAAAACGATTGTTCCCGTTTTACCTTTTTACACGTAAAACCGGTATACTATTGCGTTTTAAAAAATAACCAGATTCTGCCCGTAATACCTTTTTGTCTACAAAAAACGTAACGTGATTGCACTCCATGAAATATAGGTATTGTCCTTTTAATATAATTTTAAAATGAATCAATGAAATCGGTATTGATAGAAAATATATTTAGAATATTTAAAAAAAAAAAAAAAATTAATAAAAATTTTATTTTTAGATTCCGATTGAAACAAAAAATATATTGATTTTACCATGATATGTGTATTTTTTTGTTTCTGTGTACATGATTTTGACTAGAATAATTATTCCGATCATCACAACCATTAGAAATTTCAGGTTTGAAAGTTTGCCGAGTTATTTCATGAATTTTCCTACATTTTTTTATAATAATTGCGAATATATGAATCAAATTATAAAGAACAACATTATTTACATCAAACCGGTTTCAACAAAAACAAATGTTTGTTTTTATCGTAATTTAAAAAATAACTACTATAGAGATTCGAAATTCTCTTTGGATGTCTATATAACAATAATCTATTAATGATATTATTTTAAAAACATTTTTTTGAGATTTTTATAGAAAATTGAAATTATTATATTGTCTTTATTATTATATTTTGGGAAATATCGATAAAATAATACCAGTTTGACGTCACATTCTGAAAAAATAATAAAAACTTCTTAATACATATAAATGTATTTGTACAATTAATTAATAAATAAATTTTTTCAATTTCAAAAATAATTTACGAGTATTTGAATAATATTCAAAAATATAATAATATGTAAAAAGGTATAATAAATATAAAAAACAAATGTTCAAAACATTTAATAGTTAGTAAATATCTTAGTGAAACGATTGCTATTTAGAAGTGATTGAAATGTTAGACTTTCCTAAGTTTGAAATGCTTTTTTGTTGTTGCAAAATTTAAAACATTAAAGGTTCAACCTCCTTATTAAGAATTTTAATTATTCTAACAACCATCTAAATAAATATAAACTGATCCACCTAACCATCTTCATATAGAATCATTTTTTTGAGAACAATGGTTGGTAAAATGTTCGTAATTCAATACAACAATTCCATTCATTCGTCCTTGTATCCTGTATCTTACCCGACAGTGGAATCTTAACTAATCAAGGAATTTTATCATTTTAATACTAATATTTTTCCTAATACATATAAAAAAAAAAAAAAAAAATGATAAATATTTTCAAAAATATGTCATACAATGTTTTAATATTTTGAAATGGTATGTTGGAAAATTATTAGAAGAAAAAAAACTTTATTCACACAGTGCAATCGTGTTTCAGCCTTTTGGTTTTAGTTTCAATTCTATTTCTTAATTATTTTTAGAAGTCGTTTAATATTCGCTCCCAGTTTTTTAAATATATATAATTTATATTTTACAATTGAGATTTCGGTTGATTGAAATTGGGTTCAAAAATAATGAATTATATTTTTAACTAATTTATTGATGTAATTATCTGTAATATTTGTTATTAAAATGTAGTAATAAAAGTAAAAAATAAGAATCAAAGTATAAATACTTACTTTAATGTTATCTTTACACAATAATTTTAAATGTGAAATTATAAAAAAAAAAATATATATAAACTGAAAGGAAAATGCATTGATTTCAGAATACTGTTGTTTTAATTCAAAAACGTAAAGTTTGGGTTATTTAAAAATATTTATTCTTATTTTCGGTTTTTCTTATGTCAAGTATGAAATATTATAATATTATATAATACATAAGCCATTATTTAATTGAAAGATTATCTGCTGTATTGTCATATCGATGCATTTAAATGGCAGTACAAACAAAACAATAGAATAAAAATTTGTTTGAACTTATTACATATTATACACGTGTTTTGTAATATTTTCGATAAGATTATATTCCGTTTGATTTAACACGACTGTGTAAATCAAATAAAATAATATTTTAATTAATTTCGAGCAGACGTCTAGACAATTAAAACCGATTAAAATAATCATAATACATAATGTAATCATATTCAGTGGGCTATAAGATTACAATACTGAATGTCAGAATGTCTCGTAAACGATAATTTATGATTATACCTCTCTGATAATTCGGCTGTTTCGTTTTGAACCTATTGAAACATTATTACGATTGCACACAATGTCATGTTATCGAATATCGGGGCTGACGACGGAGACGACGTCGGAACTCTTTTTTAAAATGGATACAGAGTAAATATGTACCATTAAAACATTAGAACCTTTTTTACTTTCGTATCGATAAAAGGGCTTAGTCCATATTAGCAGATTATGCTCTTCTGTTCTTTGGACGATGGAGAACTTCAGTTGTGTTGTGTTAAACCTAACTAGGGGTGTGTGTCTTTGAAAAATAATTGAAATGGTTTGCAGTTGTTGGTACCAATCTGTTTTTCGATACTACTTTATTCGGTTTTCTCGAAATGTAGTTTATCTATTTCTTTAAATCAAACAAATTTTTTTATTTCGTACGAACATGTTGTATTTAATGATTTAAAATGACAAATTATTGAACATAAATGTATTGATAATATGAGGTTTAACGTTCCCCGTGTTCATGCAATACGAAGAGTTCCATAACCCATTAAATCCCTTCGTATAGTATGTGAACTCGAAAAACGTTAAACCTGATGAACTCCATCACCGAATATTAGGTACTTTTTTAATGGATTTTTTTTTTGTATCAATATTAATAGAAATATTAGAAATATTATGAAAGTTGTGGTTATAAAATCTAATTTTGATTGTAAAAATCATTTGCTCCTAAAAATAATTTTATATTTAAATTATATACTCGTACCAGTGGACATAATTTTAGTCTTTTACAGTTGCAGATTTATTATAGTATCATATACTCGTCAAAACGATACACAGTATTCAAACAAAAATAATTATTTTATGTTATGTAAATAATATTACAGTCATATGGCTCCAGTCAAAAAAAAAAAAAAAATAATAATAATAATAATAATAATAATAATAATAATAATGTACCTAGGTTAGGTTGATATTCTATCGTTTTCGGTAAATATATAACATTCATATTACATTTATTGTATACAATTAATTGATAAAAACTTTATATAATATACAATATGATTTGTACTGAAAAATATAACTATATTTAAATTGAATTGATTATCAATATAAAATTTCTTAATTTAAAATTGATGGCTAGGGCAAATACAAAATTACCTTTACCTTACAGCTATATAGTTTTTATAGTTTTAATTCTAAATCCAATATGTCAATTAATATAAGTAGAACACAAATTAATATTATTAAAAAAAAAAAAAAAAAAAAAAAAAAAAAAAAAAAAAAAAAAAAAAAATGAAATAAAATAAAATGAAAATTACCATAAGTATAATAAATTAAACTTTAAATTTTAAATCAAATTATTTTAAAATATGTTTAGTTTTAAGACATATTAGATAACCTATCTGTTAAATACGTATTATGAAATTTAAGTATTGAGTTATTTGCTGAAAATAACTAATCAAAAAATTAATAAATAAAAATTTAACTTCAAAAAAACACGTTATCAAATTATTTAAATTATTTTACGTTTCATATTATAGAGTTCAAAGTCATCAGTTCGGTTATCAATTTCATAATTAATAAGTATATTTTAAAAAACAATAACAGTTATTCACTTTAAAAATATGAACTATTATCAATCATTAGTCTCTGTATATCGAGAAGAAGGTTCATTATACTAAATTTTTATTATTAATTATGATGTAATCAAAATCACGTTTTAAAATATTTAAATATTCAATTTTAATAATAAAAAAAAAACCAACAAAATGTTGAACATAGCCGATATGATGTAAAATGCAAATATTTTCAATATTTCTCTATTTCTCTATATTTTATGATATATTTGATATTTTTATTTTTATCATAATCATATATTGGCTCCTAAATCATCTCATATATCAGTAAATTTAATCTGACAACTTATGAATTACATGTATATATACCTACTATATTAAAAAAAAAAAAAAAAAATAATGTGTCAAATAGAAAAATATTTAGGTAAATAACTCATTTAATTTAGTTTAGTCAATTTGATATTATAACATTTATATATTATATTCTCTATTAAAGTAAGGTTCGGTTTATCAAGAAGGGAAGAATTAATCAAGATAATATTATTATGATGCAATGACAAAATTAATTGCAATTTTACTATTTAAAATATTCACAAAAAAAAAGAAAAAAAAGAAAAAAAAGAAACCAATTATATAAATTACTGTTTTAACATATTATAGTATTACGAATATTAATACTATTTATTTTGTTTATGGAAAAAAAATAAAATGGTGGGAGAAAATAATTATAATTGTTTAAGATCAGAAAAAAAACATAATTAATATAAAAGATATATATACATATGTAAGTATGTATATTATACCTATATTTACAAGATTAAATCGCTATATAAAATTAAATAAATGAACAATTATGATGATGTAAATGGAAATATTTTAAGGGTTGACCGACAAAAGTGATATAATGTGGACAACGATAACGAAAACAACTATCTTGAGTGTACCCACTTGTACTGCATATGTATTTATAATACAGACGATAGATACACGTGATTTGGTTTTGACATGTACAAATATTATTACATTAACATATTGGAGGGGTATCTAATGACGACTATAGTTAATATTATTTGTTTTTCACCAAAAATATTATTTTAATAAGAGGTACTCGTACGTTTTACATATATAAATAATATATATATATATATTATAATAAATTATATAAACTAAAAATTAATAATTATATAAATTAATGTATTATATATATATATATATATATATTATATATTTGTAGTTTCAGGCTGATGAGGAATATCTCAATCGGTGCGTCGCGTATTCCTATTACCGCGCAGGACACCGGACGATTATTTGTACGACTCCTGTCTGAAAAACATTTGAATCTCTTCCAACGTCTTGTTTTTGGTTTCGGGCACTTTCTTGTAAACGTATAGCACGAACAAACCGAGCAACACGACGAATATGAGGAACACGTTGGAGCCCAATATTTCCTATCAGTCAAAATATAAAATACAATTTAAACGATATTTAAATGCGAAAATTAATATCAATCGCAATACGGATGGTTTTATTTTCTAATTGAATGTTTCTAATCACGACTTGTAGTTATAAAATCAACAGTAATCGCGAGTATGACACGAAATCGAAATCCACCCTGGGCACAACCATCCTGTTAAAGTTTTCCTGGAGTGACCCGGGGTCGTACATTATACTACAGTAAAACCGATGACGACATCATACCTGTAAGGGTAGGAATCCTAGTCCGACGACGAAGTTAGCCGTCCAATTGACTCCAACGGCTATACTGGTGGCTAATGGTCGGGCAGACGAGTTGAACAGTTCGGAAACCAAGAACCACGGAATGGATCCGGGTCCGACGGCGAACGCGACCACGAACACCATCACGAAAATAATGGCTAAATAAGACACCCAAACGTATGTTGTCTGCGAACATATAGGTAATAATTATTAAGGTTTGTTTTCGTAAAATACACACTGCGTACGTGAATACATTAAAATTAAAATTAAATAAAAATATTAATCGACACGGTCGCACAGTAACAAAGCCCTGCCACACGCTTGTATTTTTACGGGTAGCTGATTAGGCCGAACCGATAAACCGTGTGTTTATTGTTTTCGTCAGTATAATATTTGCAACTAATCATCATAAAAACTAAAATTTCCAAAGGAATATTTTAGAAACACAAGTATACACATGAATTTTTATTAGCCGCGGTTTGCCATTATTTTATTCTAAAACGATGAATAATGTTGTAAGATCACATACCACAAACATCAGAGCAATAGTCAGCAACACGGTGTCGATAAACATGGCAGAGAATCCGATAAGTAACAAAGTTTTGCGGCCGGAGAGTTCGACCAGGAATAGAGAGGTCAATGTCATTATCACGTTGAGCGAGCCCATGCCAAGGGTAGCGTATTTGGCGCCATCGGGAGACATTTGAGCCATTTCGAAGATTTTCGTTGAGAAGAACATGACCTGCGGAAATTACATTGTATAAGACACTAATGTATCAAAAATAAATAACCATAATAATATTACATAGTACAATATAAATCGTCCAATTAGACTTGTGACAAGTGTTATAATACGGTACGAAGGGCTTAGGTATCACCTTGATCAGACATATTTTTTTAGTATAAGGTCACAGTTTAAATAATATTGTCATGATATACGTTCGGGATACATGCTTTACACTGTTTACATTTTGGGGGAGTATATGTTACCAACATAGTATAGATACAATTATGTATACTAGATTATAATTAGCACTATTTTAAGCCGTATTGCAATTGCGATTTGCCTCATTTCCCATCCCATAAAAAATATAGTTATTGAATAATAAAGCAACAATAATGCGGTGTCGTAATCAATTATCTACTAGCAAACATTTAAGAGTTAAATATACTACATATATGTATATAATAATAAGACTTAAAGAATCAAATTTGGTTTCGTGGATATTTCAACGAGATCTATTAATAAGGGTAAACATAACAACTAATCGACAAAAATATTTGTTTTATAAGTTCGCACTAGTAGCGAGTAATGATTAATGAGTATTGAACTTTGTTAATACAGATAGTGTTCAGATTTCAATCAGCCTCAATCGTCATTATATTCGTATGTATACGAGTATGATATAATATAAATATGATCGAAGTTTATCTACAGTTTGATTTATCATAATATGAGGGAGGGGATAATCTTCTTTCATGATCACGTAAAAGACAAAATCATGATATTATAATAATTTTTCGTTACGTCAGAGATTTACTACCAAGATTTATTCTTAGAAATGGCGTAGATCACGTTAATACATCGTACAAATCTTTAGCCGTTCTTAGCGTAAGCCACACGTTCGCTCTGTACAGCAAAACTGAAGTCACTGTGTTATTGCGATTTCAATGTAAACGCATATATTTGTCAGTACTTACGGCGTTAATACCGGATAACTGTTGGCACAACATGATCATCACAGATATTCCGAGTGGGATTTTCAACATTGGGTTCGACAGCATCTCGCGGAGAGTTACTCGAGGGATCACCTTCATTGCCTCGTTTTCGGCTCTCATCTCGTCCATTTCGTCGTGCACTTCGAGCGTTCCTCTCAGCCATTGTAATCCTGCAATAAATCATCGCACACGCAAATGATAACGTTTAATAACGACAAAAAATAACTGTACCATTTATGATGTTACGTATTTTACACGGAGCATGACGATAGCGTAGAAAAACCATCTAAAACGTGTCGAGTTCATAGAGCAAAATACAAATTTTCTCGAAAACTCATTCTAAATGTTTACGTACTTCCTAAACTTATTATATACCAAAAGTGATTTGATTATCAATGGGAAGAGCAAAGCACTGATTATATTTTATATGTATAAATGCTGCTACTACTGCTTGTACTTAAGACTTAGGGTTTTATTCTAATACAACTCATTTATCTTACGGTTCGATAAAATTGCCTGAACAGAACGCCTAAAAAATCATCAGTAGTTCGAATGATCCTGAATCGGATTATGCACTCGTCAACCAGATACAAACGTGTTGCACCTGTTAACTTCATATTTTAATTTTTTTTTGTGGGCTGAAATGTACATTTAATGAAATCGAAAACTCTAATTACTTATGGTTGGTACTAGGCACGAAAATGATTTGCCGTTCTATACCGTGTATAAGAATTTCAACAGCGTTACCGCTCGCGCAACGTCAAAGAATTTTATGTGAAAAGACATAAAAGTTATGCTTTTTTTTTATAAAAGCATTACATATTTACAACACACGTACCTTTTTCCGCTTCAATGTCTTTCTTCCTGTTGATTAACGTGTACTTGGGTGATTCTGGGCAGAAAGGCAATGTCACGAACATGAATATACCAGGCACGATAATGAGCGCCAACAAAACGGGCCACTTGTCTGGCGTACCCAGGATGTAATCCAAACCCAATATTTGAGAAACTAATATCGAAATGGTAACGACTAGCTGGTAAACTGTTCCGACCTATGAGATGGTCAAAATGTAGTGTTAAAATAACCATGTTTTGACAATAAAACGAAGATAAATAAAATAAATAAAAAAATTAAAAAACAAACGTCAACGAATTGGCTTCCGGTTTTTGTTAGGTGTTCATCTGAATGGATTTCAGAATTTTTATTTTTTCAAATATTTTTCAACTAACGATATTGAACAACTTCTTTTACTTTTTAAAATTAACTTTCATTATACAAAACTAATTAGAGTAGGTAAGTAGACAATTATTTATAACCGTAATAATTCATTTATCAAGTATAGGTAACTTATGGATGAATTAAATTAATGTTTCAATATTTTACAATTTTTGATCAGAACAAAAAAAATAACTTTCAACTTAAATGTTAACTATAATTGGTGACTCTATACTTAACTTTAACAGATTTTCATGATTATTATCTAAGTTTCTTATTCTATACAATTTAAATGGTTTCACTCTACAAATAAAATATGATAAATGATTCACAGATCTTTTGGGTAGAATATTATCTAACTGATATTCCACTATAATTTTTATAATACATTTCTGTAATGACCTCTGTTTTTTTTTTTAGTTTTTTTTAACTAAATATTTTCATTTCAACTTTTTTTAAAAAAAAACACGAGTTACCTATTTTTACGTAGGAAAATCAAATAAGATATGTACGGGTAGTGAACCGGTGAAGCAAAATTCCGTAATTACCAATAAAATATTCGAATCGTCAAAACGTACTGTAAAAAACATTGAACGATGCTTGGACCTTTGGTTAATTTCCGTTTGCGAGAATTATAACTTAGACGGGCTTTATTAAATTGTATACTTACAGATCCACGGAGATTCATTGGAGAAATTTCAGCGAGATACATCGGAGCCAGACCAGCGTTAAGTCCTGAGTTGATACCGATTAGGAACCGTCCGATTATGATCAATTCGTAAGACGAATACATTTTCGAAACACCTAATGAAAAATATACGATAAATAAACAAATCTGTCAAATAAAAAATGCAGTTATAGCATTACTTCTGCTTTTTTAAATCACAAAATATCATTATGGATTCATTTAAAGAAAAAAATATTAATTTTCTAAATACACGTGAATTTAATTTAATTAAATTTACTATGTATGACTGTAGCTCAAAGTTTAATTAGTACAATATATTAGTACATAATAAGTATGAGATTATACATGGAGTTTAGATGATTAGTTTAATTAAACAAATATACAATTGATTTTTTTTTTTTTTTTTGTAGTGCATAATCATAATGGCTGGGTAATTAAATTAAATCAATATAATAACAATATTGCTTGATTTTTAATCGGTACATTCGAGAGGGTATCTATACTATTGCGTGGTAGCGATGTTGATATTGTAAAACGCGTTTTCTACATGCACGTTAACATATACATGATTTCGAATGTACGGATTGCATAGAGCTCAGCGGCGCGGTATAGAAACGTTTCGTTTCGATCACATTTAAATAAAATAATACTTAGAAGATTTATTATAATATTGTCCACCTTTTTCTCGATGTGCAATAGCTGCATGTGCTACGTGCATCAAAAGGACACCACGCCTTAAACGGTGGAAAAAAACCGTTTGTGGATATACCGCAATGGGTGGTGAAAGCATGTTATATTATTCGCACGCAAATCACAGGTAGATGGGAAAAAACAAATAAAACACATGCATATTATAATGTGCAATGATCACGTGTTGTTGCACAGTCGATTTGCACGATTCGAGTTTTATTACGCATTTCTATAAATGCGCCGAGTAAAAGTTGCGCAGTGATAACGAAATATAAAACATATATGTTTAATATACACGACGACTCGCGTTCAGATTAAGCTTCTGCCGACCATTCGGTCCGATAAACTTAAGGGACGGTTAACGTCGTCTAAAATTAAAAAAAAAAACGTCGTTTCAGGTACGCGACATGTCCAAGAACATTATGGATTTTATGATTTGCAATGAAATCAATAACGTTTCAAACAACCTTTTAACATAGTATTACGTGTGGTTGGTCGAGACGAAACGATGGTTTTAAGAATGCCACTTGAAGATTTGCGATTACAATTTTGACAATTTTTTTTTTTTTTTCGAAAGCTCCGTAAATTGTGTTTAATATTGCGTAGCGCGCAGAAAATAAAAATAAAAATATGTGATGAAAAATTGCTTACAATTCTTCCGAAAACGAACATATGTATTCATGTACCTATATGTGTGCACGTCAACAACGTTTTCTATAACACGTGTACATGAGTAAATGTTATGTTAAAAACTCTCTGAACTATATAATTCATAATGATACATACGCATTTATATATACATAAGTATCATGAGAATAAATAATTCATGAGCATCGCTTGTTACTGTACCTATTTCTAGATAATTTAATTATTTTTTATTTTTATTTTTCGAACTCGACGAAAACATGTGTAAATATTATACTGTGTAATGCACCAGAGGTAACTACATCCGCAAACAAGTAATAAATAAAATGCATATACGTGAAAAATATCCTTGGATTCGTGCTTCAAATTAATACCAGCAGTATGACTGACTTTCCTAGACAAGAGAGCAATGTAAATTCTATGCGTACACGGAGTGATTAAATTTAAAATTGATCAGGTAATACTAAAGTGGTTTCTAAATATGCATTCTCATTCGCAACTAAAAATATAACAATAGTATATAAAATCAATCCGACGATTGTTTCTTAATATCGTCTTATATAGACGCACCGTGTACTTTTCCACGTTTAAAATTATTATGCAGAAAAATAAACAATAAACAGTACGTACTATATAAGCTAAGCAAAATGTTCGTTACATAAAATATCTGTATGTTTATGTTAATAGTATATGGTATTCTAACGAACGGTTGAGTTTTTACATTCGGGTTGTTGAGCTCGTAGCATTTATAGTACCAACAACCGATTGAAGAAATAATAACATTGGTAACAATTGAAATGTGCAATTTGTCAAACCCGTCAAAACAAATAGCTTATAAATAAATGCAAGCTATTATGCTGTTGAACGATAATAAATCAAGAAAAACGAATTTATAAAAAATATATAATTTATATTTAATTACTACGTGACTATATTATCAGAACCCAGTGTCTTTTCCGCGTCGAGTTAAACGTACGTAAGACAAAAAATAAAATAAAAAATACCATCACAACAGAGCGGTGTTGTTTGACGAGTGTATAAAATATGAATGTGCGAGCAAACGACTTACAATGTCTTCAATGGACAAGTATATTATACGGGCAACGCGATGGTCAACTTATAAAAATAATATTTGTCCTTATACGAGCGCTAATAGAAATTAAAAAAAAAAAAATGTAAAAAATGTGCATAAAATAATCCTTAGTAATACGGACCCAATTAAAATCAATTGGGTGTCATTGTCAGGCTGCAATAGTTGACAGCCGTATTGTACACATAAACTGGCGCTAATGGTTTATCGTTAGTGGTAAATCCGCCGCATCAAATGGTATTCAATGAATTGACCTTTGCAATGTACTCCACATCATCGAACATGTCCCCTTTGGAATGAACCGATATATTGCAGGAATCCTAACATCCAATAATGACCGAATTATTAATGTGCACTGTGTCGGATTACACCGTTTAGTGGAAGTTTTACCGAATGCACTTAGTATATATTTAATACACGCAGTATATGATATGGATTATACAAATCATTATTCATATAAATATGCAAAATAAAACGTTTTTTTCGTCTGTTCATTTGATGTTCTTATTTCAAACGTATCGATTTTCCAACATTTTATTTAAACCGTAACGATTGAAATTTACGATTTCGTGTATAATTATATAAATGACGGCCACGATAGTTCTTTTTTATAAAAATGCGAAGAACTTCCGCGGGGAAAATCGATATAATTTCACGGATAGTCTTTCCCGTTCTTTTCTCCCTAGGGAATGGTTGTTTTGCACTTGTGTTTGGTGCAAATGCTAAGGTGTAATAGTACGAGGTTCGCGGGCGTTGTGTGGGCGGTAAACTATTGACGTATTGTCTGTAGACGATTATTATGTATGTATATAATATTATGTAAGTATTATTACGGCATTGTGCGATCGGAAAACAGCGCTCTCTTACAGTCAAAATTCAAGCGAGACCAGCGCCGAAAGGATTTGAAAATTTAATATTATATGTATATTTTATAATACAAAACAAATAAATTACCATAAAATAAAATAAAATGTTGAAATAATAATTGATGTTTTATATTCATGTTGTACTGTATATATATATATATCTTTTTAATAGAAGTAATTACGTGTTTTTAAACATTCGAATTATTTATTGATTCTTAGCCACTTACATTTTTTCTGCGGATAAGGAATAAAAATTTGTTTTATCATTGCTATACATTTATGTTCATATTATATGTATTATGCATTAAGTATTTTTTTTTAATTGAATCACGTTTTCATACTCGTTTATTTTATTTTTATTAATTTTATTAATTTATTTATTTATTATGTTACATAATATAATAATACATCATTACAATAAAATGTATTAGACTTTTTATATTCCAATTACAAAATAGAAGAGTAATTTCATTAGGTTATAAGTATGGTTAGTGGCGTATTCAGAATTTTTTTTTTTTTTTTTTGAGGGGGTTATAAAAAATGTAACATTAAATTTTTTTTGAATTTTGTATGTTTTTATTATAATCTATAGACAATATACATACACTAAACATTGTTGAGGGGATTTATAACCCCCTAACTCCTCCTTGATACGCCATTGAGTATGGTAATGGTTTTCATATTTTAAATAATAATCCAAAACTGTTGAAATTGCAGTTCAGTTGTGTGCATATTGAAAATACTTTATAATACAATATAAATATAATATATTATATAGTTATAATATAAAGTTGTGTTTGTATGATTTCGATTTAAAAGATAATGCAGTTTTAAAGAGAGAGAAAAAGTAAGTTAATGTTTAGAATTGTCGAGGTCTGACAACGTATGTAGTTGATGCGAAATAACTTTACGTATGTAGCAATACAGTTCACCAATTATTTTTCCCATTAAAGTATACCATGATTGTATTATAATACCGTGCTTACCTTGGAGTAGAGACGATACAACGACTAACGAGTTGGATACGAGTAAACCACCTTTCCGGCCAAACTTCTCGGCGACGATTCCGGTCATCAAACCACCGATCATACCGCCGAAACAGAAAATCGCGACAGCTACGGCCCATATCAGGGTAACTTGTGATTTTTCCACGATAGCTCCACCGTTTCTCTCCGATATCACGGAGCGAATCCAATTTTCGATCAACTGTAATGATAGAGACGAAATAAATAAAAACACTCGAATAAAATAAATAAAAAAAATCGTCACGCCGTAGTCGAAATGAGAATCACAGACATGTGACAACGACATTTAATTAGTTTCCTTGTAATGCCGTAGGCGTGGGATTCCAAATAACACAATTTGGTAATATATATAATGTCCAAAATACACAGGGTAATTTTTTTCTAAGTTACACACTATGGTAATTTAAGGTAAGCCGTAATAAAACTTCTTCGGCTTTAAAATTTAAATTTTAAACCAGCCATATTGAATTGGCTCCCAAATTCAGGTAATCAAAATTTTAAATAATGAATTGGTTTTTAATATTTTTACATTGAGTTGGTTTCATCAATATTTATTTTATAAACTCATTGGTTATCAAACATGTTCGAAAATATATTTAACTATATATTAAAATAATTTAAAATACAAATAATACATTCAATAGTCCATAAAAGTCATTCAAAATAATAATTTAACTTTTTTAACTTTTATATTTTAAGAACCACTCATTGAAAATAATATTGGGAGTCAATTCCATATTGCGTTTCATGGGAGCTAATTTAATATCCGATGGGGAACTTTACCTAATAATATTGGGACCAATTCAATAGTAGGCTCATAAACAGTTAGATAATGTAAATCGTTGATAATTACTAATTATAATTGTTAAACTTTGATACTGATTCACGATTACTTTTTAATAATAATAAAATTTCATTGTGAGAGAACATTTACAAAAAAATAACAAATTGATTAATAAAATAAATTTAAAATCAAAAAATGGTTAGCTGAAAATAGATACTTCTGCCTTATTTAAAATGGGGAGAAATATTAAATTATTTTTACTGTAGGAAATATAAAATATTATTACTCATAAAAAGTCTAGAAAAAAAAATATCAAAACCCAAATTATTAATATTTTCTAGATATTTACAACCAGAATTATTTTGATAATATCAATGGAGAAAATATTGTTTTCCGTCAAAGGATTTGAGAATTATAATACACCGATACATAGTTTGTTCAAATGAAAAAGAATGTCCCAGAAACCCGAGATCCCGTAAGTTACAAATACATCATGTCCAACTTAATAAAGAAAATGTCATCATGACGCGACGTAGTGATTTGCGACTCCCGGGGATCGAATTGATTAGAACATTTTTTTGACCAGATAAACCATACCTTTACGTCGGAAATAGGATAGAAACTGTAATATACGATCTCGTTGTGGTATGTAATGTAATAAATATGCTATGCTTTGGACTTTTCGAACAAACTGACCTATTCGTACGAAAGAAACCATAGTATATATTATAATTTTTCTTCTACCTCAAATTAATTTTTTCTCCCGTTAACCGCATTTTTAAAAGTAATATAAAACGATGTAATGGAATCGATAAAATATATAATATATATGTAGATTTACATTATATATATATAAAAAAAAAAAAATATCGATGTCAATGTATACGATACCTATTATACCGCAGAGACCGTAAAGTTATGTTTCCTGCTTATAGAAATCAAGTATAAAATATGGAAGCTATACTATACAAATTATACATACTCCTATATACAAAACCTGCTACATCGTTGCACATTACTAAAATCTAAAATATGCGCCGTAACTCTATAGGACACGGAAAATGCATTCTAAAAAGTGGTTTTGAAAAAACTTCTTTTTGAAGATGCATAAGTAGAAAATTAAAATAAGATTTATATCAGAAGGAATCATGTTGCCTAACAACGAACCGTGCTTCAGTATCATACAGCCATCATGCATGCCTACCGACAACGTGACGGGTTACTACAGAGGTTTATTTACGAATGGCCACACGGGATACATATATATGTACATTTTTTTTTTTATGTATACTACCAAGACGTTTTACGCCCGTGCACGGTTCAGTTAATACAGCCAGACCGCGTAGGCAGAACGAAGTTTGGAGTTTCGTATTCGCTGAAGAGGAAAAAAAACATGATTAATTGTTAAACATAATAAAAATAGGGAGAGTGTGTGTGTGTGTGTGTGAGTAAAAGATAAGAAGGGAGAATTAAGTCTCTGAAATCGATAATTGAAGGTGAACCTCGTGTGCACCGACCATCACTAAAATGGATTTATCTGAATAGCCGTACCAGCCCGAAATGATATCAAATACGCATGTGAATACGTTACGAAAACTAAGTATGCCCATCAAAAAACGAGTAACCCCTAAAAGGACGTCTGCGGTAGTGGTTTTTTATCTTTTCTTTTTTTTTTTCATCCACAACATTCCTCTTTTCTATCCTCCCCCCCCTCCGTGACGATGTGATTCCCACCAATCGAAAAGAATAAATTACACTGACAGGGGTAGGACCCGGTGGGGCACGTTGACGTTTACGAGGTACGGAGAAATGAGTGAAAATACCCGTAGGCTTATGGGTAACGTACAGTGTTATTATATTTATTATGTGTACTCGAAGGTTAGCCGTCTACTTACCGTTTGGGGAGCGTTAACCACGCCGGTGTTGTATCCGTGTTGGAATGCGGAGCCAAAAGCCGACGCTATGATGGCAAACAGCAGTCTTCCGTTCAAGCCCTGTAACAAAGAAAACGCAGGTGGTTGTTGTACTGAATAATGCACTCGGTCCGGGGGGAACGACGGTGTGAAGACGCGCGTGGTCGCGCAGCACCAGCAAGATTTCAGGGTGCGTGTGCGCATGATGTGTACGCCGTGTTAGATTTTCACGACGATTTGATTAAAAAAAAATAAAATAATCGTCCGCTCCGAAACGTTTTCTTACTGCACTATGTATATTGACCGTAAACGAGACGGATTTCACGAAAGCGCAGCTGCAGAGAACGCGTTCTCTTGACGCGGATAGAAGTTCTTTGGGACTGACGACAACCGAAGCCGAATTGAAATCGTCGTTATACAAACGGTATCGTTCGGCTACAAGGTGCATTTATCATACTCGCACGTTGTCGTAATATTCAATATTGTTCATTATCGATTTTAAACTTATCACATTCCCCGTGTTCGTCCCGAATATAATCTGGGATTTTCACGCCGTTTATCGCTGTAGCGGACCGGTTTAGTTCCCAACGAATCGCCGTACAAATATTGTGTCGAACAAATCTCCAAGCCGAACAAATTTTTGTAATTTTGATATTCTGTTGTATTACGATACATACACGTCAAATATCAGGATTGTTAATATTTCAAATGCACGCATGTACGCAAATTATTTAGATAAAGGTTTGGGTGGAATTTTTTTTTACTTAAGATAAAAATGAAAAAAACATTTTTTTTTTTTAGAAATTAATGGCTTATCGAATAAGTTTATAATTTTTTTTTCATTTTTTATTCGAGCAATACATTATCACTAACATAACATAACATGTAACATAACATAAGCATTGATTTATCAATGTATATGTATTATTATAGTTGATAAAAACTTGATCAAATAAATTATTTAAGTTTTTCACTAATGTTATTTTTGAAACTATAAGTTTAATGTTTTATGATAATATACGCAATACAAATTAATTATTTCAATCTTATTTTTCTCAAAACTTTCTCTTTTATTGTTTTATGGATTTTATAGCTCTGTCCACATAATCGTTAGTGAAATATTCATGTAAATTATTCTAACTATTTAAATTTCCATTTACACGTGAGGAATGTGATAGATTAATCAAACAAAATTCTTAATTTATTCAAAGAAATCTGGGCATAAAAACAATCAATAAGGCTTTTAATAAGACGATTAATACAATATTCTCCGAAAAGTAAATTTCGATTTTAGGTGTGAGTCGGTGTGATTTGATGGGTGTTATAGATTGACAGACTGTAATCCGACTCGAAATATTAATAAATAACATTTTTATGTCAAAAAGGTGCACATGATCTACGATTTGAATAATTCTGTCGGAAAAATGATTATTAAATATGTCCAAATAATATGTATAATATACATAAAAATCACGATAGTTAATCGATTATCTTATGATTGTATCCTACAATATATATCACAAAAACCATTACGGTTTAATTTCAATAATATACCTGGTAATTATTATATATCACGCTGATTACACGGGCATTACGTCGGTGCCTACTTAAATATTTATAAAAACATTTTAATACAATTACGAATCCGCAATTATACGACACATGTGCAACATGAATAGTTTTAGCGAAAAGAAACTCACCCATACAACCGCGTAATAAGTGTATCAAGAAAACGAATTCTATATTATTGCGTATGTGTGTGTGGTAGTGGCGCATATGTTTAGGTATGAGGGGGCTATTTTCCATAATTGTATTCATAACGAGGTGACAAAACACGTAAAGTCAAATAATTTATATGGATTGAATGGAATGAAATAATATTACACGCAAACTGGTTGCCGACACACAAAGACTGGTTTTTTTGATAAAGTTTACTTGGCCGTCTAGTGTTTCACGGTCCGGCCCCTATGGAGCGGCATAGAGAATGCATTTTTTATAGTTCCATCTCATTTAAAAACTCGTCCGTTAAATCCCCATCGTATGATATTATAATGCATGTAACCGCGTGCACGAGGATCACATGGTATTAAATGCAGTTTAAAAATTAATGCAGGATTTTCCCAAGCAAGCGCGTTTTATGGCCTGGTATACATATGATAATGTGCTGTCCAGAATCCGAAAACCAAATATAGCGTATCATTTAAACGATTAAAACAATAACGAATAAATATAAAAATTATCTATGAAATTAATAATTCATCATAAAAAGATATATGAGATGGTTTATTTTTTATAAAATTTATATTCATTCTAATGTTTTTAATATTATAATTGAAAGCATCGTAGACGAAACGCATATCTATTATGTACCTACATCAAATTTTAATATACATAATACAGTGATACTAGCAGTATATTATTATATCAATTAAATAGATCGTTTTAATGCGCGTACCTCTTTATATCGATATTATTTGCTCATGAATATCACAATTTTAAAATTAAAATTATTTATCACTATTTATTTATTTATTTTACTTAAATTCAGAAAAACATATATTACACGGTATCTTTTGAATTTTGAAATATTATTTTAACACAGTGTTTCTAATAATCAGCGATATAGACGTCTTTAAGAATTTCATCATACTCAGTATATACGCTGATTTCTAAATAATGTTTACACTATAAATAAAGACGTTAAATACGTTTTCAAATTGTATAATAACATAAAATTATTTTCGTTTTTTTCAACGGCTATAAAGTAATGGAGGCTACTAGCAAATCCGATAATGATAATAGCCTCTATTTAACATTTTTATATTTTATTATTTTTTTAAAAATCCAGGGAGATGCAAAAGCAACCCTTTGTACTCCTCTCGTCGAGTTCATATTGAAGGGTATATGAAGGTATATGCTGTATATCCATAACAAATATTATAAGGAAATATGTAAAATAATGTATTATGTATACAGTAGGTATATAGTGAGTATACGAGTGGAACGGTATCTAATAGACAGAAATTTCCCTAATATACTATTATTTTAGTCATGAGTCAACATTTTTTTATCTTTGATTTCACATATTCATCGTGAAAAAATAAATTTGGAAATAAACTTGAAAAATATATTGTATATCAGTATGTACCACGTTAAAGAGTAGGTAGTAAAGATCTACTTATTGTTTTTGAGCGACACGAAAAATAATTTGTTTAGGTTTTTATTTGTGGAAAATGGCATACGCTCGAGGTATTTTTTACCTATAAATCCCTGCTTATAATCTTAATTATGAATAACGAATTTAAAAATAGATGGACAGTTGGAAAACATTACTGTCTAAAATAATACATTTAACCACCAATACATACGCATGTGTTAATTATGTTGATAATTTCTAATCTGGACTGTTTTGACATACACAGTTAACTTTTACTGCACAGTTGAGATAATATAGTAGAACTTTATTCTTCCACAAAACCAACATTTATTATTGAATTCAGACAAATGTAAAATATAAATATTGGATTTAACTAAAAATTCAATGACAAAACACGATTTAATCATTTATGAAATTATTTAAAATTTCGGTCTGTTAAAAATTTGATTTAATTATCCAGTTATAACGAGTAAATTATTTTTTTTTAATTGGATCCCACACGTGTACGAGTATATACATATAAGTACATTATCGAATCAGAACGCATTTGAGAAACATTTGTTTACGTTTTATATATATATATGTACCTACACAATATATAATACTAATTGAAACACTCGGAATTGCCCCATGGACACTCGTATTTTATTACTTTAGATTAGAGCAATTATTATTTCGTTAAAATAAAAATGTTTAGGTTGAAAATCGGATTGTATGTGTATGCATTCTAATTATATTCATTTTTATTTATTTATAATGTAAACATTTTCATATACCATAATCGATAAATACTATATAAAAAATCAACATATCAAACGGATACAAATATATTTTCTTGGTAACCGATAAAAGAAAAAATTATACATCTAGCATTTAGACTCTTAAAAATTCGATATGTGAAAATCTTTTTCTAACACATCCATTCATACGCAGAGCAGCGAGTGAGCGAGTAGTATTTGAATATTATACACATTTGAAGATTATGTACATCGTTTACGCACAGGTATAAACATACACGTACATCTGTGAATTAAAAAAAAAAAAAAAACGATGGACATGCTATTACATAACGCAAAAATTGAAGGATCCAAACAAAAGGTCAATGTCACGGTACGTTCAGTATATGATATTATTTGTACACGTACGAGTAGTGAGTGAGGTGTACATAATCGTTGCCCGGTGTATATACATGTACGCGTTTTGCGATAGTGCACGCGGTATAACGTAACCACCCGTAATTATAATTATATAATACTATAAAGATTTAATCGATACCGATTTACTACAGGTTAGGCGTTTACGCGTTAATATCATTTCGCATCTAATCTGGTAAATTATTAATAAGTAAATAAACATAGCTAATGTACCTAGGTGTAAATCGAGCGTATATTATACACGCCCACCACCGTTGTTCGTCGGAGACCTTTATCCTACCACATAAAAAAACGACACATCGATTATTTGCCATATTATAATACAATCGCATATTATATAATTTATTGTTCATTATTTGATTATAATTAACTGTTATGTTTTTAGGTATTTGATGACTTTTTATTTATTATATTTTAATTTTATAAAGTGATCCGATGTGAATTATGAAGAAGAATGTAGGTACATGAATAATTTCGGCAAACGAATACGTAACATTTCTACACTTGTACGTTTTGATATATACAGCGATTAATACGATATGAAAGCATTATGCTTATACATACATTTGCACCTAAATATTTATACACACACACACACATCATTGATCATTTATTATACTCAGTCAAATCGTTTATATAATTCACATTCGTTGCGAGTACATGCGATCGTATTTTTTATTTTATTTTTTTTATGATTTCATTAAAAGCAAAAGAAGTATTACATATTTTGTTTTTTTTCTTGTACATATGTACATAGCGCGTTGTATAAC